GAAATGTGGTTCCAATGGCTGACTTGCAGCTGGAATTGCAAGCACACCTTGGCCGGGTTCAATCCCTCCTTCTGAAAATGACTGCACTGGAGAGGAATCATGAAAAGAAGGTGTTCGTGGGGGAGAGACATCTCTCCATTCCATCGGAACGGAAGGGGTCGTGGTTGGAACTGATGAACTAGCTGATTTTGAGGGTGTCTTAGATTAGGACTGATGCTTCTCTTTACGTTTCGTCTTGGATCAGGCTTTTTTAGGTGGTACTTCCAATGCACAGCATTCAGCTGGATTGGTGATTGGGTGCAACACTTTGGTTCTGACCCCAGAACCACCAGAGCTGAGGCACTTGATGGTGGGCTCGCCAGTTTGTCAGTTCTGGCCAGAAACTTAAAGAGGGACTCAGCATGCTTGGCCAAGGCAGATGACTACTGGAGCATAAAAGAGCTTTTTCCCACAAACTTGCCTTCAAATGTACTGCTCAACCTGAGTGGGCTTTGGGGTGAACTGGAGGCAAATTTCACATGTGGCTATATTATGGGCCTCACCCAGGCAGAAAAGGCAGAGAAAGTGCTCATCCAAGTGAGTTATCTTAGTGTACCTCTATGAAATGCTAAACGCTATCTACCCAAAAAAGATCCCTGATATGTAGAGAATCCTGGGATGAAAAAATTGAGTCACGAATCAATTCACTTCAGGCTATATAATTCATCCTTTGAATTCACCCAGAGTTTTGAGTGAGTTCAGGGGGTGCCATAATATCTGTTCAAGTAAAACCAACCCATCAGAGGCAATGTACTGAGGACACAGAGGAATGGAAAGTGCTTATTGGTAGCCAATTTGTAAAGTTTTTTGAACACAAGGGAATTCTGCTGGTCACAAAGTAGATTCATCACTGACAATGGAGCCCTGAAACCTAGGGCAACGGTAACTGAAGCACACAGAAAGCCTGTGGAGGTGGATCTGGCAAGGTGCCATCGTTTATGTCACCACTTTACTATAATGTCCCCTTTTGCCTTTGGCTGGTGTTAAGTATAAAAATTGACACTTAAAGTTACACTTCTTAATAAAGGTGTGAAGGCATGCTTAGGGCAGATTTCAATCTAGCTGCACAAGGAACAGTGGAACTGTAAAGCAGCTGATCTCCTCAAAACTGCTGCACAAACAGAAGCCTGCAAGCAAAAGCTCCCATACTTTTTACTTGGAGAACCCTCCTCACAGGCTTGTGCCCATCTTTGAAAAAACACTTACTTTAATTGGGGTACTCTGTCCTAAGGAGCAATAGCTACACCAGGGGTCATTTTGAGCAGGAACGGCATTCCGGGAGTAACAAGTAACCCCCCCCTCCTTTCCCATTGCCTCACCTCCAAGTGGGGCGAAGGAAAAGGGGGGGGAGAAAGGGAATCCAGGGCTGCTTCTGCCTGACAGAGGGGCCAGCGTACCAGCCCCTCTGACAGGCAGAAGCACCTGGGATCCATTCCTCCCCCCCCTTTCCCATCTCCTTGCTAGCCAAATTGGATGTGCACTCCCAAGTGGGGTAAAGGGGAGGGGGGGGGGGGGGAGAAAAACGGAACCCAGCAGAAGCTTCTGCATGACAGTGCGGCCAGCACTGGCCCTGCTGCCCGCCAGAAACATCTGAAAAGCGCGTACTGCCTCTGCGGAGCGACTCCAAAGACTGAGGGGGTTTAAGAAGAAGAGAAGAGATGGGATTTATACGCCGCCCTTCACTACCCAAAGGTGTCTCAGAGCGGCTTACAAACTCCTTTCCCTTCCCCTCCCCTCCCACCACAACAGACACCCTGTGAGGTAGGTGGGAGGTTGGCATCCCTAGCACTGGTTGGCATCCCTAGCACTGGTGGAATATGGAAATTGCCTAATTAATGTGAGGTGCCCCCGTCATATAATTGTCAAAGGGGGAAATGGCCTGATCATGGCATTTCCGGCAATGCGGGAGGGAGGCAGCGGCCTTCACACATCACATCCAGCGATGTGGTGTTTGCTGCTGACATAACTTCTAGTGACGCAAGGAAGGGCATAGCCAACACACTTCACATCCAGTGACATGTGCAGGGGATGTGTACCAAACTTCCTCAGATGGCAGGGAAATACAAGCTACCTCCTATTTCTTGAACAC